TATAGTTTCTTAAAGAGAAAAGAAGCTATACTTACCTCTTGGACACCGCATATACCTACGAAAGAATTCCCTGTGCCATGTCGTCGTTATAGAGTAAATTAAGAAGGCTACTACTCTGTAACACTATGAAGGAAAAAAAATGTATAATTGTGTAAAAACGTAATTTACTATTCATTTATTACTGTTTAAATTTTATAATAAATTATCTTATCTTAATAATGAGCTCAATGATTGATTAAAAATACTTTCTGTTGATTGAAATTTGATTCCTGACATGCTCAACATACCTTGACCTGTTAGTTTAATTATTTAGTCAAATTAATTAAATCGATTTATTAATAACATAAAATATAATTTAAAAATAACACATGCCTTATCAACCAATTTTATAATATTAGGCTTGAAATAACACATATCAACATATCTAAATAATATGTAATTGATTAAAATAACATGCTATACACTTATAATATGCGTATAATCTCGAATTTCTTTTTTTTTCTTCCTAAAAAAAATAAATAAATAAATAAATAAATAAATAAATTGTGTAAAAACATGTAAAATTCTTCCTATCGCAATAGTATAAATTATTGAATTATATCATTGCTCTTGGCTGTTTTTTTCTTACTCTAACCAAAACCAAATAATCTCCTAATGTTATTTGATTGATTGTGATTACTATTATACAATAAACAAATTGTTAAATAATAAATAGACCCGAATCTTTCTATTTTTCATTTTTATTTTTTTTTCTTGGATTCCTTACCCGACTAATAATAATAATAATAATTAAAAAAAAATGCCTGCTTCCATTACTGTACTATGTTATGTGACAAGTTATCGAAAAAAACTAATCTCTAATAAAAATCTTTCGATAGTTGAAGCTTCTGCTATTGTAAATCTCGAAGTTTAAATTCTTCTCTAAATGTTATTTTGATTAGATTTTATCCTGAGAATACTGTTCAAGAATTAAACTTACCCGAATTTGAAGATAAGGATGTGATACTTGCTACAGGAAATTTTTGCATCGTCGAAAATATAGACCAAAATAATGAAAAATATTCTATTCTAAAAGTATCTTATTTTCATTATTAATATAATAATGTATAATAAATAAATAAATTGACCTATATTTTCCTTTTTTTTTAACAAAAAAGATTACCTTAAATGACATTATTCGCTTCGATACTCTCAACTCTAACAATTTACCTGCATCCCCAATATTAATCAACATGACTGCAATGGTTCGCGAAGACCCAAAAATTGACAATGAAGATGTAGTCATCGATGTCATGACTAGGAATTACATTGATCAAGACAACAATAACATCAATATCACATGTTATCACCTTGCATCCACACACTATTTAACAAATGTAACTGCCTCTGTGCAAAAAGATTCTGTATTATATATTAATGGAGAACTTATGATTACTGATGACGAAAACATAGTTCATATACATAATGTTTCATTCCCGGAATATTAAAAATTAAACACAATCATTAAAAATAATCCAACGCAACTTTCGTGAGAATTCGAAAGTCCAGCTAAAACAAATCAACAAAATACAGCTGCCCACACTATAGCCACCAGGGTCAAAGCAAACATCTGACGCAAAAAAACTACACCACCTCCAAACCATATTTTAGAACTGCTTCTCACCCAAGAGTGTCTGACTTAGCAAATAATGCTTTAAATGAAACTCCAACAATGAATCCAGGTCTGTCTAATCAAACATCCGAATAAATAAGTATATTACCATTTATGTACTTACACTTTATACCATATATCTTTTTTTTCTTTTTTTTTCTAAAAATAAATAATAACAATTAACATTTCTTCACGTTTTTAAAAATGGAATAACCTGTACTACATATTATTACAGAGTAAAGCCTTCTTAATTTACTCTATAATGATGACACAGCACAGAGAATCCTTTCGTAGGTATATGCGGTGTCCAAGAGGTAAGTATAGCTTCTTTTTTCTTTAAGAAACTATACCCTTCTC